ATGGATAAAGACGAATTACGCAGAGAAGTGGAAAAAGTTTATAGAGTTAACTCTTGGATTGCGAAGCAGAAGAATTTGCCTAGAGATGTGGTGATTTATTTTACAAAGAGATCTCTGCGCAATGAAATCATACAAGCTTTTTATAATAAGAGATTCCAGATTGCTGCCCAAGATGTCATCATTTTAAAGGAAATTCCATCTAAAATTTTAAGAAACAGGAAAGACTTCGCTTTCTTAGCTAATGAGCTTAAAGCAAGATTGATGCCATTCAGATGGGAGATTCCGATGGGTATCGCTCTGAGCCATGCGGGGATGTGTTATAGGCTGAATACGGTTGCTAAAGCTAAAGAGTTTTATAATACGGTCCTGGGTGCAGGCTCAGCGTCATCTGTTCAGAAACCCTTGAGTGGCAAAGAGCTGGAACAGCAATCTGAAGCATTAGGTCTGATCTCTGCTGGGAAGTTACAACTGGAATGGCAATGTCAAACAGAGGTTAAAGAGCAGAGGATGACCCGTGCAGCACATAGACGCAAGGAAAAGGAGCAACAAAAGAAAGAAATCAAAGAATCTTCTTTGGAAAGTGCCTCATTGCCGGTGGGAGGAGCAAGATCCAAGAGTTCTGCAACACATACAGCAATGGCAGATATCCAGGCAGTCTTCTCCAGGCTCCTGGTTAAGGGAGATGGCAAAGCTTCTGACCTGGAATGTTAATGGTCTTAATTCCCCTCAGAAAAGAAAGAAAATCTTTCACTACTTAAAGCAACATAATAATGATGTTATCTGCTTGCAGGAAACTCATATTCTACTTAAAGATCAAAAATATTTAGTTAACGCCCGTCTGGGATCTCATTTTGTATCTCCTGCTTCTGGGAAAAAAGGGGGAGTGGTTATTTATGTCAAGCAAAATTTACCAGTTTGTCTGGTAGAATCAGATCCCCAAGGAAGATATGTAATGATTGAACTTGGTTTATATAGTAAGAAAATACTTATAGTGGGACTTTACGCACCAAACCAGCAACAGGAACAATTTTATAGACTGTTACATCAGAAAATAATCTCGCTGGATTATAGATCCGTGATATTAATGGGAGATTGGAATGGTGTCTTAGACACACAAAGGGACAAGAAAGGTTCTTCTCCTCTTTTTAAACAGGCTAAATTACCTAAAGCCTTTTTTGATATGAAAGAAGACTGGGAATTGAGAGACTATTGGCGGGAACGTAATCAAGAGGAGAGAGATTTCACCTTTTTTTCAGATAGACATCAATCTTTTTCAAGAATTGATTTTTTTTTTATTACAACGGACCTATATAATAGGGTAAAGAATGTAAAGATTTTTCCTAGGTCGTTGACGGATCATAGTCCAGTCTGGATGGAGTTGATTCAAGAAAAAGAGGAGAGAAGATCCTGGAGGGTGAATGAGAATTTATTTAGACAAGAAAAGAATGTTCAAAAGCTAAAGGAGTGTTTAAAGGATTATTTTGCTTTGAATATGTATAAGGGGACATCAGTGTCAATGGTATGGGATGCAGGTAAAGCATTTATGCGTGGGATCTTGATAAAAATGAATAATTTTCATAGACAAAAGCAGATTCAGAAACGTAAAGAATTGGAAGATGAGATTAAATTAAAAGAAAAGGCTTTGATTTTAACTCCTTTAGATGAAAATATTAAAGAATCTATAAAGTTGCTAAGAACACAATTTAACATGTTGATGGCGGATCAATCTGCAACTAACTTATTGTTCATGAAACAAAATACATTTTGTAATGCCAATAAACCAGGGAGATGGTTGGCTTATCAATTAAGAAAGAAACAGAGACAGAGAATAATAGATAAAATAAATTATAAGGGTAATTTAGTGTACCAGAAGGAATTGATTAAGAAATCTTTTTTAGATTATTATCAAAAACTATACAAATCGACTAATGTACAAACTCTAGATATAAACAAATATTTAAGTGAGGCTAATTTCCCTAAATTGACAGAAGACCAGAAACATGAAATTAATGGTTTAATTACTAATGAGGAAATTGCGATAGTAATTAAACAATTGAAATTAGGGAAAGCACCGGGTACGGATGGTTTGACATTTGTTTATTACAAAACTTTAATGGAAGAGATGATTCAACCATTAGGTGATCTTTTTAACAGTATTTTACAGGGTTTAGAGATCCCTCCGTCATGGCGCAGTGCTTTTATATCCTTGATCCCAAAAGAGGATCAAGATCTTACTTTACCAAAGAATTATAGACCTATATCTCTTTTAAATGTTGATTATAAGATTTTTACAAAAATTTTAGCTAATAGGCTTATGAGGGTTGTGCACCACCTCATACATAAGGACCAATCTGGTTTTATAACTGGTAGATATATGAAAAATAATGCTAGACAAATTATTAATTTACTAGAATATTTAGATAAGAATAACCAAATTCCTGCAGGGTTGATATTTTTAGACGCTGAAAAAGCTTTTGATCAACTGAATTGGTATTTTATGCTACGAGTAATTGAAGAGATGAATTTTGGTGAAAAAATATTACAAGCTTTTACTGCGATATATCAAAAACAAACGGCACAACTTATTGTTAATGGGGGTTTGTCAGAGGTTTTTACAATAGAGAAAGGTACTAGACAGGGATGTCCATTGTCGCCGTTATTGTTTGTTTTAACATTGGAAATCTTGTTGATCAAAATTCGAGGGTCGCAGGAAATAAAAGGAATAGAAGTTAACAAAAAAGAATATAAGTTGAGAGCTTTTGCAGATGACTTGGTGGTTACTTTGTCTCAACCTATTTATTCTGTAGTAAAGTTATTACAGTTGATTTATCAATATGGATTGGTTTCGGATTTTAAGATCAATGTTAATAAGACTAAAATACTACCCAGAAATATGACTACTCGGGATAAACAGATTCTAGCTAATTTGACTGGTTTTGAAATTGTTAATAAGGTAAAATACTTGGGGGTTATTTTATCTGTATCTAATGCAAAACTGTTTAAGAATAACTATGAAAGGTTGTGGGTTAGGGTACAGAAAGACTTGAGGAATTGGGAGAAGTTGCAGTTATCTCTCATGGGAAGAATTGCAGTGATTAAAATGAATATCCTACCCAAGTTTCTCTTTTTGTTTCAAATGTTACCGATTTTGAAGAATGAGATTAATTTAAATGATTGGCAGAAAGGTATTAATAAATTCATTTGGGCAGGGAAAAAATCAAGGGTAAAGTTTAAAATCATGCAAGACTTCCGTGAGAGAGGTGGACTCAAGATACCGAATTTGAAATTATATTATGATGCGGTGGCTTTAACATTAATTAGTGATTGGGTAAATTTAACAAATTTGGAGATACTCCATCTGGAGGGATGGGATTTACTTTTCGGTTGGCATGCCTATTTAATATTTAATAAGAAAGTGGATCGGGTTTTTAAATCTCATATTATAAGAACTTTTTTACTTAGGATTTGGAGAAAATATTATAAAAGTGATTTTAAAATACCACTATGGGCTATACCTTGGCATGCGATAGAGGGCATAAAGAGAGGTGTTAAAATGGACACGGTGTCTTATACACAATTACTCAGATGGGATGGACATAACTGGCAGTTAAAATTATTGGAAGAGTTGGTACATGAAAATATTACTTATTCTTGATTTCAATATAGACAATTAGCAGATAGATGGAAGCTGGATTGCAAGGTGGGCTTTCTTAGAGAAGATGAAAATCTTTTCAAGCAAGTAAAGGATCAAAGACAAACTCACATTAAGAGAATTTATGGGGTTCTAGTGGAACTGGATTCAGAATCAGAATTAATTAAAGATTGTATGATTAAATGGGCGCAGAATTTTGGTGAACCAGTTCCACTGGATATCTGGGAAATTATTTGGGTGAGGAATGTTAAATTTACACAAGCCCAGAATTTAAGGGAGAATTTTTATAAAATGTTTTATAGATGGCACCTTGATCCACGAAAAATGTCTCTTATGTATCCTGACCTACAGCCTAAATGTTGGAGATGTGGTTGTTTGGATGCCACCTATTATCATATTTGGTGGTCGTGTAAAAACATAAAAAGTTTTTGGATTAAGATATGGTGGAATATTCAGAGAATTTTTAGAAAGAGGGTAAAATTTACTCCACAACTATTTTTGTTAGGTATAGTTACTGATTGTGATGCAAAGGAGGTTATATTGATGTTGAACTTGATCACAGCCGCAAGGTTGTTAGTAGGACAATATTGGAAGAAGGAATCTTTGCCTACTTTGCAGGAGTGGTTTTTTAAAGTATCCTACTTGGCGGAAATGGCAAAGATTTCGGCTTTCTTAAAAGAACAATCGCAGGAGAAATTTTTTGCTGTTTGGGATAAATGGATAAAGTTTATACAATTTAAATTGGATATAAAAAAATATCATTTAGCTTTTTTATAACTTTTATTTTCATATATATATATATATATTATTGTAATTTTTTTTTATATAATCTTTTTAACTTTTTTAATTAAGCCTATATTCTGCTCTGGGAAGCTCTGGGGGGGGGAGGGTGTGGGTGGTTTGGGGAGGGTTGTATTGTTTTGTTTTGTTTTGTTTTTTGTTGTTTTCTGTTTTTTGTAAAAAAATTTCAAAAAATTTTCAATTAAAAAAAAAAAGAATGCAATATTGGAGGCTAATTCTGCTCACAGCCTGGAGTTTGATCCTGATTGGCTCAAGGTTGACTCATCCTTCCATCCTTCCGAGATTGGTAAAAGAAGGGCCTAAATTGTTGAAGGCAATATGCTGACTCTGTAAACCACTTAGAGAGGGCTGTAAAGCACTATGAAACAGTATATAAGTCTTAGATGCTATTGCTATTGTTATTTGAAAGTACAAAATCCATTAAGTATATTGAATATTTCATCACTTCCAGTGGATACTGGGCAAACTTCATGGTGTTAATATAATATGCCTTCCTCCCCAATGACTGCTATTATTTCTTCTCTTTTTCTTTCCCCTTGTCTGATAGTTACAAAGGTTCAAACGCTCTCTGTCACTCAAGACCATCCTGCGCAGCAAGAGCATGGAGAACTTTTTTCTGCGCTCTGGTAATGAGTTCAAGCTGCCCTCCGATGTCCTGCTCAGCCCTCCTGATTCCATGCCACCCCCCTCTCCACCCCCAGTTCCCTCTGAAACAGAAATCTCCCCCAGAGCCCTCCACAAGTCCCTGGGGACCCTCAAGCCCATGAAGACCCACAGTTTCCAGGAACACATCTTCAAAAAACACAATCCTTGTGAAATTTGCCATCAGCTTATTGTAGGTGAGCAATTGGATGCCTTGTTTCCCCAGCTTCTTGATAATGTTTGCTAGTTCTTGTCATGCACACTCAGGAGCTGAATTCTGATAATTCTTTTTCTATCCATGTCTGGATTACTTTAAACTCTAAATCCTAAACTACTGCCAAATCAGGATAGCCTTCCTCCTTTTCCTCAAATAGATTTACATTTAATAAGGATTAGGCATTGATTCTAGATGAAGCTTGGAAAAATATGCATTAATGGAAGTTGGCTGTTGATGTATCTCATCTGCTTGAGTGGAGCTTGCAGAGAAAGAATAAAATAGCTGGAGCACAACCAATGAAGGAGCAAGGAGGTGCCCCCAAACCTGATTTTTCTTTTTCTTTTTTAAGCAATTGGAGGTGGATGGAAGCTTTAAAGCTTAATAGTTTAATTTCTTTTGCTGGCCAGCATTGTTTGTTTAGATTGGAAGTTATGATAGCCATTAAGTGAAGCACCCATGTGTTCGTCTCATGTGAGATAATAAAAGCCCAGTCTAATGAGATAATAAAAGCCCAGTCTAGCACAATATCAACAAAGAAGAAAAATAACAGCTCTCAAAAGAAACCAGTGTGGCTGCATAAAGAACTCTCTGATAAATTGAAAGATAAAAAGGACAAGTATAGAAAGTGGAAAGAGGGCACATAACTAAGGCAGAAATATCAGTAAATAGCCCGAGCCTGCAAAGATGAAGTGAGGAAAACTAGGGCTCAAAATGAACTCAGGCTTGCGACCAAAGTCAAAAATAACAAAAAAAGGTTCTCTCAACATGTAAAAAACAAGAAAAATGTGAAGGAAATGATTGGTCCATTAGTGGGGGAAAGTGGCAAGAAGGTGACAAGCAACAGGGAGAAAGCAGAACTATTTAACTCATTTTTTGCATCTATCTTTACACAAAGGGAAAAAACAGACCAACCTATCAAAAATAGTGCCATAAAAAACAAAATAGAAACACAAGTTAAGATAGGCAAGAAAATGGTAAGTGAGCACCTGTCCAGACTAGACGAGTTCAAATCACCAGGACCAGATGGATTACACCCCAAGGTTCTCAAGGAACTGGCAGATGCGATCTCGGAACCACTGAACTATATTTTTCAAAGATCTTGGAGCACTGGGGAACTACCAGAGGACTGGAAAAGAGCTGATGTAGTTCCCATCTTCAAAAAAGGGAAAAAAACAGATCCAGGAAATTACAGATCTATCAGCCTGACCTCAATACTTGGGAAGATTCAGGAAAAGATAATCAAACAACGAATCAGCGAACACCTAGAGACAAACAAAGTCATTACTAAAAGTCAACATGGGTTTGTCAAAAACAGATCATGCCAGACAAATCTTATTGCATTCTTTGAGCAAGTGACAAAATTAGTGGACCAGAGGAATGCTGTGGATATAATTTACTTGCACTTCAGTAAGGTATTTGATAAAGTAGATCACAACCTACTACTCGATAAGATAGAAAAATGTGGGTTAGACAGCATCACCACCAGATGGATTCGTAGCTGGCTGACCAGCCGAACTCAGCATGTGGTCCTCAATGGAACTGCATCTACATGGAGGGAAGTGTGTAGTGGGGTGCCCCAGGGCTCTGTTCTGGACCCAGTGTTCTTCAACATCTTCATCAACGATTTGGATGAGGGGATAAGTGTTTATAAGATAAATTATAAGACGATAATTTGCTCATCAAATTTGCAGATGACGCTAAGCTGGCAAGAATAGCCAACACTACAGAAGACAGGCTTAAGATACAGGAGGATCTGAACAGACTTGAACACTGGGCAATATCTCACAAAATGAAATTCAATGGTGAAAAAAGTAAGGTTCTACATTTAGGCAAGAAAACCCCAAATGCACAGATACAGTATAGGCCAGGGGGTACCTTGCTCAATAATAGTAACTGTAAGAGGGATCTTGGAGTCCTAGTGGACAATCACTTAAATATGAGCCAGCAGTGTACTGCAGCTGCCAAAAAAGCCAACACAGACCTAGGCTGCATTAATAGAGGGATAGAATCAAGATCACGTGAAGTATTAATACCACTTTACAATACCTTGGTAAAGCCACACTTGGAATACTGTATCCAGTTTTGGTCACCACAATGTAAAAAAGATGTTGAGACTCTAGAAAGAGTACAGAGAAGAGCAGCAAAGATGATTAGGGGACTGGAGGCTAAAACATATAAAGAACAGTGCTGGAATTGAGAATATCTAATCTAATGAACAGAAGGACGGGGGACATGATAGCAGTGTTCCAATATCTCAGGGGTTGCCACAGAGAAGAGAGAGTCAAGCTATTCTCCAAAGCATCTGAAGGCAGGACAAGAAGCAACAGATGGAAACTAATCAAGGAGAGAAGCAACCTAGAACTAAGGAGAAACTTCCTGACAGTTAGAACAATTAACCAGTGGAAAAACCTGCCTCCAGAAGCAGTGAATGCTCCAACACTGGAAGTTTTTAAGAAGAGACTGGACAGCCATTTGTCCAAAATAGTATAGGGTTTCCTGCCTGAGCAGGGGGTTGGACTAGATGACCTCCAAGGTACCTTCCAACATTATTATTATTATTATTATTATTATTATTATTATTATTATTGAACCCCACATACCTCTTCTTCCCAATGCAGGCATTAAATGAATGTGTGGATTGTTGAGCGGAACATGGGATGCCTCAAGGTCGCCAGAGAATACCCCAACCTCTTGAGGCACCCCATGCTCTCCCTATGCCCCTCAGGATTCCTACCTCATCAGGCCCCTTATCCTCCTCCTTGCCCACATCACCAAGTTGCCCATCCCGCATGTCCCTAACCCAAGGTCTGGAGTTCTTTGAAAGGTATGTGTGTGATTGGTGACACTGGGTGAGGAGGAGGGTATGAGGCTTGGTGGGGAGATGTGAAGGAAGGTGGGAGGGCCCTACAGTATCCTTGTGGTCAGACTTAAGAATGAACAATCATGGGGGCAGTGCAATGGTTATAATGTCAGGACCAGGTTGTAAATAGCTTTTTTGGAGGGGAGGTGCTAAAGTGACCAGCTGTAAGTCAAGGACTACCTGTAAATGAATAGGAAATATAACCCTGGAAATAAGTGTTAAAAAAAATCAGAAGATGGTTGTTTCATAATAGGCCACTCTCCAGGTATGTTGACTAGAGGGGATGGGAATTGATATCAGCCTTATTTGAGATGAGTGTATAGCCTGTTCCTTGCTATCAAGCATGTATTTCTGATTTTTATTCTCTCTTCCTCTGCCTCTCAATATTATTCCCACCAACATACATCTATTATCTTAACAAAACACCTTGTAGCTTCCTTGTGTTTTGGTTTTACTTTTAGGAAACTCCAAACAAGGTTTACGATGCAAGACATGCAAAGTGAGTGTGCATCTGTGGTGTTCAGAAGAAGTTTCTCATCAGCAGTGCCTTGGCAAGACAGTAAGTAGCTAAGCAAAGCTATGCAAGGGTTAGGCTGGAGAGATCCAGAGACGGAAAGAATGGACTGTATTCTAAAGTTTACACAGGGTTAATACAGATAGGCCTCACTTAATATCCAATTATTGAATCACTGTTTGACATTTCAGTGGTGCTGAATGAAGGAGTTTGTGCCCAGTCCTATAAGTACAAGCCATTGCAGTGCCTCCACAGTCATGTGGACAAAATTTGGTTCCATTAGAGCCCACCTGCATGTATAACCACCTTTTTTGCCACCCACCAACACCAACATCCCAGATGTTGCCACACTGCATACCACTACTGTACTGGGCAAGACTTGTTTCATGCTGCTTTTTTTCAAGCTGTTATAGCTAGGGCTTCAATTTGCATACCAGCCAAAGTCTCCATTCATATACCTGTCAGGGCCTCTATTTTCAAGTCAGCCAGAGCCTTCTTTCGCAAAAGGAGACCCCAGCCAGTGTGCAAAAGAAGGTCCTATCTTTGCTGGCACAAAAGAAGGTCCCAGCTAGAAAGGTCCTTCTTTCAGGCACTTGCCTTCTTTCATGTGGCCTTATTTCAGAAAAAAAAAATAGTTCTGGCCGTGCCTGTTGGGACTCAATGGCCTTATTTCAGAAAAAAAAAAATAGTTCTGGCCGTGCCTGTTGGGACTCAAAGAGGAGATCTTGCTTAGTGTGCAAGAGAAACCCTCCCCCCCCCTGATTGCACCAGTGTAAAAGGAGATGGCACAAAAGAAGGCCCCCAACTAGTATAGTAATGGCATGTGGTATAGCAATAGACAAGCCTGGGCAATGGGGGCAGCAGATAAATGGGCAGCCAAATGGGCAGAGATGGGGGGGGGAAATTGGTGGATAGGGGAAGCTGAAGTGGAGAGGGTCCTTATCGTTTTCCAAGAATGCTTGGATCCTGGTGGGCCTCTGCAAACAACTTTGGGGGATTCCTGCAGTAACAGCAACTGTTAGCCATTGCTGAGCTGTTATGTGATGTTTCAATTGGTGACTACATCATTTAATGGTGGAGTTGTTAGTCTCAATTAGGGTTGTTAAGTGAAAATTAATTGGGTGACTTTGGGCCAGTCATTCTTAGCCCAACCCACTTTACAGGATTGCTGTGGGGAAAATAGAAGTAAGAAAGTGTGATGGATATTTTACTGCCTTGAGTTATTTCTAAAAATTATCAAGGCAGGATACAAATAAACAAAATGAATGAATGAATGAATGAATGAATGAATGAATGAATGAATGAATGAATGACTAGTATCATAGACTGAATAGTACACACATACTATTGGCAGTGATATGGGGGAAAAAGAAACAGGAGGGTTGATTCTGAAGTTCTTACAAAGTGTTCGTTTATTTTGGATGAAGTCCAGTATCAAGAGTTCTAGGAACTGAATTTCTTTGCGCAGACTTTCTCTTAAAAACAAATCACTTTTTGTGTTTGTTTGTTTTTAAAACCAAATAAGTTCTGTGGTTGTGAAAATATCCAGAAGGATCTCTCAAAACTGGATGAATGGTTATTCAAATGACAAACATTCAGTTTAAATAAGTGTAAAGTGAAACACTTTAAGGCAACACAGAACCCTCCCCAAATTTCAGATATTCACTGATGTGAATTGCTTACCAGACAAAAGGTCTTCAGGTTATTCTGAATAGATATAGCAGCTTTGAAAAGGCATATTCTGTGACATGAGTGAGAACATAGGGAACTGAAAATAAAACAGCCAACATTGTAATGTCTGGAATATCTATATATCTGGTATGTTCTATGGTTGGATTATGGTTAGATCTGGAGGATGTGCAGGGCAGGGCAGATTAAGAATCAGTTTGTCTTTAACATCTTCCTTAGAAAGAAAGGCTGGATCAGCTAAGACACTTAGAAAAAAAAATGACCGTTAGGGATATTACTGAGGTATATAAAATTAAGCATTATATGGACAAAATAAACAATATATTTTTCTTTTTCTCAATTACTAGAAGAAAAGGCCATCCAATGAAGCAAACTAAGAGGACATTTAAAATAGGCAAATGAAAGCATGTTTTCACTTAGCACATAATATGTGGGATTCATTACCACATGGCATGATGATGGCTACTAACATGAATGGCTTTAAAGCAAGGTTTGTTATCTTTGAATTGAATGTTGCCTCTGGCTTGGGGACAACATGCCTCCAAACAGGTTAGAGGAACAAGGGCAGGGGAAGGTACATCTCCTTTTGCCACTTAAAAATACTCAGAGACATCTGGATGGCAACTGTGAAAAACCAAATTTTTATTGATTTATTTTTCACATTTCTCAATGACCTGACTGCCTCAGAGAGATACTCTTAGCAATGTATAATAAAACATCAAAATATAAAAGCAGTATATACTGTAAAAAAGCAGTATATATTGTAAAAAATGAAATTTTAGAATTAAAATTTTTGATTTTTTTAATTAAAAATTGTTAAAAATTTGTTGACAAAGGGCAAAAAGAGGGTCTCTCAAAATGCTGAACTAAGATCAATTTTGGGCAATTCAAGAAAATTCCTATTATGTAAGATCAAAATTAACATATGTGACCAGGTTTGGTTTTAAAATTGCCCTACAAATTGTATAAAAAAAATAAATCAGTGAACATAAAGTAGATAAAATCACATGCCAAAAACATATTTCTCACAACACTTATTTTTATCTATACTTATTGTTAATTCCAGCTATTCAGAAGTATGATTTTATAGATTATGCAAGGAAAATAGCCCACTCATGTTTAAAAAATGTGTTCCTCAAAATAAAGTATCTTGAAATTAATTATCTCAATTCTTCATTACCTGATATATCTTTCTGCTTAAACTGGATAAATCAATTCATTTGTCCTATACCTTCTCTAAACTGAAAATAGATTAAAATACTTTATTCTTAGATACTTGTACTTTTTTTCACTCAAGGACATTCTAAAAAACATTTGGCCACTAATAAACACTTTTAAGGTATTTATCATTCCACCTCCTCTGTATCTGTTCTTTTATATTTGCCCTTAACAAATTGTAGCTTATGAAATCATGCTTAAATGAGTTATGTTTCATTGCACACAAACAGTTGCTTGTATTGCAGTCCTTCCTCCATGTGAACAGTAAACTAAGAAAATGATATGCATTTTGAGAATATGGTTAAGAAACAAAGAATGGAAAGCCGCTTTACAATATAATTTGTTCTATTTGTGAACATTATTGACATGCTAAACTTGCATTATTTATTTTGTTGTACAAAAGACACAAATGAATAAACTGCATTATTATAATATGCATCTCTTTTGTGAATTAAATTTTATTTTCTAGTTTTATCAGTATGTATTACATGTGCTTTCTATGGCTTACCAATTGACATTATGAAACAGAAAGTGTTGTACCACTTAGAGTCAGTGTCTACAAACTAATTTTGCTTCTTTCTACATTACAGATTTTACAAATTTTGTCTTATTATATTTTATTCTCATGTTTTCCCAGGGATCTCAGACCAGTAGATGGGTTCACAACAGTCGTGTGAGATCAATGTTAGTGGGGAATTTTCTTGGTTTGAGACCAAACACAATTGGCTACACCAGATTTCTAGAAGCAAAGAGTAAATCCAAAATTACCATTTTTAAAAGCTGATGTGCAGAGGTCTAAACTACTTCCTGTCCTGATTTATTTAGTTTAAAATTTCTCTGAAGGTTAATATGCAAAGAGGAAATTGAGGGGAGCAAGCACAATATTAATTCATCCTCTTCTTAGCAGCATGGCAGAGGGTCAAGCACATAGCAGGCCATTGAAATATTCTTCTGTACTTTGTTCCTCAGCAGGCAACCTCTTTCCGCCGTAATCTTAGTTCTCCTCTGCTGCTACACGAACCACAACCCCAACCAGCCCCAGCCAAGGAATCTCCTCCTACAGGTAAGAACTTGGCCATTCCCAAAGTCTGAAAAGTAAAATTTCTGACAAAAACTCAATCAAAGAAAATGGATGATGAGGTGCTCCCAGGCTGCTGACTCCTATTACTGCCAGACAGGCCTTGCAAGGGATGGATTCAAGATGGCAGACATGCATGTGCAGTATGTTTTTAAAAGGGGGTGGAGTTTCACAGTTCTCATCTTCTGATATCCAACCTCTAAAATGCCTCTGCTGCCTCCTCAATGGATACTCAGGGGTAAGAAAGAATACAGAAGATGCAGTGTGAAAATGCAGGAGGGTTATAAATACAAGATGATTATAATGCTGGGGTCACCAAGTAAATTGCCATGATTGAGGCAGGGAAGGTGGGGGGGAGGCTCATTGTGGAGTTCAAAGTTCTCCCAGATCCAATTTAGCAAATAGATTCTTTATCAGGGAACCAATAGAAGAATTTGACTGGTCATTGCAACTCAACTCACCCCCGAATTGTAATTAGGAAGCATGATGGCTTAATCTGGCTGAAAACAGATTTTGCTCATTGCACAAGGAATTTTACAAATCATCAGGGGACAGCATCTACTAATCAAAGTACAGAATAATAGAATAAAGTGACCGTGCTTATGACAGCTTCCTTTTCTTCTCCTTTGTGCCTGACAATCCAATTCTAAAATGTATCTGGTTTACCAGCAGGCCCCAGTGGAAAGGTAGATCCCGTTTATGAGACTTTGCGCTACGGCACTTCACTGGCCTACATGAATCGCTCCAGCTTCAGCAGCACTTCAGAGTCCCCCACCAAGAGTCTGGTATAGTCCCTAAATTCAAAGATTTCATTTTGGTAACGTTAATAGGTCCCTGATGAACAAACTGGGATTGAGGGAAACCCATTTGTGAAATCTAGAGGGAGATAGTGCAGAAAATGTTACTGGAAATGGGTATGTATGAAAAAGAATAGGAGGAAAGATGGAAACTATGAGTAAATGAAGAAAGCAATACACATTTATTTCACTGGTACTCATGCTATAAAGATCAGTTTGAAGGAATGTCTAGTCAAAGCAGGTAGCAACATCCAGCCAACCTTGGCTGATCTCAGAGAGGCATTTATTTCTTCCAGAATGAGAAGGAGGACATAGTTCAGAACGCAGAAGGCTCAACAGCAGGTGGATCAACAGCAGAGGAAAATATTACCGATAATGGTGAGTGAAATTCCCATTTTCACTTACAATATAACATATGTAAAATAACCTGTTTTGTTAACCATGCCCAAAATTTACCTTCTCCGCACCACGCACACATGTGTACACATGTAATATATGAAAGGAGGAATGGGTTATCCTGCTTGCTCAGCCTGCATCAGTCTTTGTGCAGTCACACCTCTCTCTCTCTTTCTCTCCCTCTCTCTCCCCCCCTCTCTTCTCCTTATTCCCTCCCTCCTTCCCTCACTCTCTTTATCCCAGAAGTCATTGGAGATATCCAAGATGGCTTTAATAAAGGCAAGAAATCTTGTTCTTTCTAATTCTATCTTTCATATATTGATGTTTTATTTTGATGACTAAATCCTTGTTTACTGTTTGGTAAGCTGATACAGTCAATCTCAAAAAACAAACAAACATTCACTTCCAAACATTGTTCTAATGCAAATTCACCACCACCCCTTTCTCATAAATTATACTGTGGAAGGCAAGACTGGCTCAGAGAAGAAGGCTTATGACTTTGAAGGCATTCAGTTCTAACAATGTTTTGCTAACGGTGAGGCTGGGGCTGTTTTGGAACCTTAACAAAAAAAAAAAAATCCCCCTGTACAAATACTTCTCTAATTGCAGCAAACACCATTTAATTAATATTTCCTCTCAAATTTAGGTCTATCAGAAAGAATTGCAAAAATCCAGCCAATCACTTGTGGTTCAATTTTGTTGCATCCTAGTCTTTGCAACTCAAGGGACATCAGTTTGCCAAATTTTCTGTCAGTGACCGCTTCTCTGATTTCTGGGTATTGTTTCATAGTGAATTTTCCAGAATCCCTTGTCATCTCTGAAGTTGGATTGCCTCCTTCTCTGGGAAAATAAAAGAAAGAACATATGTTTTGTTGCCTACTGGAATGATGAGCCTTAATACCTTCTATCTTTTTTTCGTTCAGTTTTCTCAGTGGCCACAGAAGGTGAAAGCCCTGTTTTGGAGGAAAATAACTCAGGGCAACAGGTAGAAAATGTACCCATTTCATTTCAAGATTGAGAAAAAGCAGATATTACCCCCCCCCCAAATGTAGGATCCAGCAATTTGAGAAGAAAAGGCTTCATGAACTAGCCCCTTCCCAGGATTTTCTTTCCAGAGAAAGAGGAAAAAAGGAAGGAAGGCAGGGAAGGAGAGAAATTGCACACAATAATATTATATTTGTTATTTAATTATATTTGGCTTTTATTCCTTTTTAAAAGTCAAGAGCCAAAAAGATTGTTTAGTACAGTAGTTCAGCTTTAAAAGTAGAGTTGTGTGAAACAATAAGCCTACTCAATTACTTTCTTTTGTGGGATACTTATTTAACACACGAACCCAGAAATTCTCTATCCTTTCTTATCAAACTGTAGTTATTTAGCGATGGTCCACTATCATAAACTTCCTTAGTGAATCATGAAGAAGACAGACATTTTATGTGTGTAGAATTTCTTAAAGACAAGATAGTGAGGGACAATGAGAATGACTGGCAAAATAACTCCTACTGGATACAATTAAGAGAATTGTGTTTAGTGTTGTGAAATGAAGACTGAGAAGGTTATGACTGCATTCTTCGGAAAGATTTTATCCAGAAGAAGGCCATAACCTGTTCTTTGTCAGGAAGACAGATTTTGTTTGAAAGTTAAAAACATTTCTTGACAGCAATGAATTCAAATTCTTAGGGATATTTGCTAAACATGTTTGGACAGGGTGAGTCAAATATTTGTCATCAATGCTTTAATCTGGATTTTCACATTGAGTGGGGAATAAATTCATTGGCTCAAATGCTCTCCCCAGTAAGTCTACGAACAATTTAAAGGTTCACAGCTCTGCTTTTTAAGAAAACTAAGTGGCATATGTTCTCATTGTTTTTCTTTAAAGTTAAGCTGTAAAAAATACAGCCAAGCAAAACAATCAATTTCAGGGTGGATAGAATGGCTGGAAAGAGGCCCTTGTCAGCCAAGTGCATGACTCTTTCATACAGCTTTACTTTTGTGCTGCCTTCTGCCCTGTTCCTGACTCATTTCGTTCAACTTTCACAAATTCTTTCCAACAAACCTACACCATCTCTGGCATGGAAAGTAACAAGTTCTGATAATCATAAGATCTTTATCTGTCTCTCCCATAATAGCATTTTGCAAAAGTTGTAAACTGTAGGAACACTTTGCATCAGATGGTATTTTGATGTTTACTTCAGAATAGATCCCTAAAGATTACACCATGTGTCTAAAACCTGCAATATTTCTTCTTGGCTCTTTTCTTTTCCAATAGCCATCTCAAGGATCTATACGCAAAGAGGTGTCATCCATGTATTCTTATGTTGCTCTGTACAAGTTTCTGCCTCAGGAGAACAATGATCTGCCACTGAAGTAAGTAGGCCTTTATTCCCAGATTTCCAGTGTAGAAATCCATAGCATGAGATAAGCATGAAGTAATCAGTTCTTGGATTGTGAGATCTTGGTGATGGATCTTAAAGGAGTTACCACTCAAGATTAAGGCTATGGTTGCTGTTGGAACACCTGCTAGTAATGACTGATGTATTTCTAATAGGGCATACTTTATTTTGCCCAGTAATTTTTATACTGTGGCATTCCCTGCATCTCATTACCAAAAGGTATCTGGAGATAAACTAGACTTTGTCTGTCCCTGCAGGCCAGGAGACCGAATCATGCTGATAGATGATTCTAATGAAGATTGGTGGAAGGTGAGCAGAATATTATGGTAGAACACAAAGATCTGAACATATACCGTATCTCCCATATGCAAATAAAACATCCTCTGCTAAGAAATAAAGTAAAAATATCTAACACAAATAAGTCTATCAGAAATAAAAAATACTATAAAACAATCCAACTTCTTACATGAACAAGTGCCACCACATGTGTTTGACCAATTGATTGATTGATTGATCAATTGTATTTTTAACCTGCTGTTCATTCAGAAGCCCAAGGCAGCTTATGCAGCACTCCCTCTCTCCTGTGTTTCCCCCACAAGGACTGGGCCAAAGTCATCCAGTGAGCTGTACTGCTCTACTCACTCACACATGCAAATAACTGTGATTTAGTGAGTTTATTAATATTTCCCAGCAATTCCCTTCACTAAAGCTCAGAACTGTCCCAATTAAGTCCAGCCATGAGCAGGCCAAGATTAGTCCACAGAGCAATGGCCTAATAGTCCACAAATAATTGAAAGTTGCTCAAACAAAATAACTACACCAGGCAAAACTTAAATCCACACACCAGAGAGTTCACATGGCAAGAAAAGTTCAGTCTCCAAGGCACAATTCCAAACGGTGTCCATCCAGAGTGAAGCAGGAATCATAACAATCAAATGCACAGCTAAAAAACCAGCATGTTGTTCCCAGCAATGCCTGCCTCTGTATGCTGTGATAAATAACCAGTTTTCCAGTGCAGTCTGTCAAGATGGGTGGGGTCTTCTCCTCTCGAGTACTCTGGCTGACCTCCAGACTCCTGCCTTTTCTTTGCCCTACGTGTTCTCAGATTAGATGCAGAAGGCAGTTCTTCCTCCATTTTGCTGGCTATCTACCACTGCAAACTTTCCCCACCTGAAGCCTCCTCCAGATCTTTTTTGGATGACCATTCAAAGCCATCAATCAACCAAGTTCCTGACATGCCAGGAATGGGCTCAACTTCCCGTGAGCTAACATCTGAAGAGGAATATGGGGAGTCACCCAAAGGAGACATCACACTATCGCCCTCCATCATGGCCCATCCTCCTGGAACCCTTTGCGCCAAGTTTCCGTGGATACCTGTGATGGAACCAATGAATCAGTCGACAGGCATGCACAACATCAGCATCTTCCCATGACATGTCCTCAGGGCCATAGCCCTTCCAGTCCACTAAATATTTCAGATGTCCCCAGTGAATACAGGAGTCTACAATGCATGCCACTTCATATTCCAGCTCCCCTGTTCTAACACTGGCTCCAACAGGGGATCTGATGGCCGGTGAGTACTGGCAGCACAGCAGGTACAAGCAGGGACCATGGAATACCAGGTGGATGCATATGTGGGCAGACAGGGTCAGCGGGTACACTACCGGCTTGACCACTTCCACCGGGAACGGGCCTACAAAACAATGGTTGAGTTTGAGGGATGATCGCATCATGGGAAGGTGTCGGGTGGAGAGCCAGACAACGGTCACCGATCACCAAAGGAGACACATCTCAACAATGCTGATCCATTAATTTTTTATAGTCCTCCTTAGCCTATTCTAATTGTTCCTGCAACACTCAGTGCATGACAGTGAGTTCTTGCAGGAAATGTATGGCTGCAGGCACAGGTGAATCCGCAGCAGTCAGAGGGCACAGCATGCTGGGCATGGTTATATGCGAACTCCACCAGCACCAGCAGATCCAGCCAGTTGTCCGGCTGGAAATTCACATAGCAACACAAATATTGGTTTAGCACAGCATTCATCCATTCAATGCCTCCATCTATCTCTAGATGATGTGAGAATGAGAGACGTACCTGTATCTGTAGAAGTTGCAAGAGCTCCTTGCCAAAAACAGGCCATGAACTGGGTACCTTGGTCTAACATAATATGCTCAGGTAGGCTGTGCAACTGGAAGATGTGATACACAAATAGCCATGCCATCTCTCACGCCATGAGCAACCCCATGCATAGCACAAAATGGGCCATTTTGTGAACAGGTCTACCATCAACACCATCATAGTTCCCTGTGACTTCAGGAGATTAGTGGCAATGTCCATGGATACACTTCCCCAAGGTCTCTTCGGCATGGGCAATGGCTGCAGCAGTCCCGGCAATGGTCCCAGTGCATTCTTGGCTTGTGGGCATGATACCACATAGGTATCCACATCGTGGCAAATTCACGGCCACCAGAACACCTATCCCACCAGATGCAAAGTCTTGAATAGGCCAAAATGCCCCGCCACATGGTTGTTATGACACTGGTGCAAGAGCAGGCTACAGGAGGGCCCCTTTGGCACATTAATCTTTTCCTGAAACCTAAACAAGACCTCTGAGCATGACCAAGAGCCTGGCCTGGACACAGGAGTCTCAACACTGCACCAGCCTGATTTGCTCTTTCAAAAGGGCTCTTGGGTCACTTGAATCACTGACTGGAGATGCATCTTATCCCCATTCCAGGTATACTCTGGCTTACATAACAAGGCATCAGCTCTCTGGTTCCAGCCTCCCAGACTATATGTTACTTGGAAATCAAAGTGGGTGAAGAAGAGAAACCATCGGATCTGCTGCTGGCTGATCTTCAGATGCTGCAGTTTCTGATGGTCCATCTGGACTTCGATCTGGTGCCAAGCCCCTTCTAGGTGGTGCCACCAAACCTTGAAAGCCAACTTGACTGCCAGCAACTCATCTCAAATCATGTAGTTCCGCTTGGCAAGATTGAGTTTACGTGAGTAATAAGTGCAAGGGAAGAATTGCTTTGAGTTCAAGGGGGCTTGTAACAACACCACCCCCATCAAGATGTTTGACATGTCCGGCTCCACCATGAAGGGTCATGATGGGTCAGGGTGGCAAAGAATGGGGTCTGTAGCAAAAGCCTTTTTCAGAAACTTGGGGTCTTGCTGCTTGACTGACCCCCGCATGAACTGAACCGCTTTCTGCAGCAACCGAGTCAAGGGAGCGGTCATCGCGGCGAATTGGGGAATAAACTTTCAATAATAATTTGCAAACCCCAGGAGTCTCTGGACGTCTTTCACTCAGTGTAAGGGCTGCCAAGACTGCAGGGCCTCACTCTTCTCTTGGTCCACTGCAATTCCCTTAGGCAAAATCAAGTGTCCCAAAACGTCAATGGTGGTTTGTGCAAACTGGCACTTTTTGTGCTTCTCAAAGAGATGGTTCTCTTGCATGTGCTGGAGTACCATTCATACACGGGGGAGTGTTCTTTGGCCAATGACAAGTACATCAGGATGTCATCCAAATAGATCACTACAAAGGTAACCAAGAGATCCCAAAACACATGCATGCGGTGCATAAACATTGAGGGGGTATTGGTGAGTCCGAATGGCATCACCGTATATTTGAAATATCTGTACTGGGTGCAGAAAGCTGTCTTCCACTCGTCCCCTTTGTGGATTTTCACCAAGTTTTAAACTCCCCGCAAGTCCAACTTCGTGAAGAGCCATGCCTATCTTAACTGCTCCATGAGTTCTGGAATGAGCGAGAGCAGTACAGCTTCCTCATGGTAGTGGCATTAAACTTACAGTAGTCACAGCAAAGCCTCAGTTCCCTTGACTTTTTTTTTGACAAAGAGGAGCAGGGCTGCTAAAGGGGACGTCATTGGATGGGTGAAGCCCTTCTTCAGGTTTGGATAAGGAGTAAATCCAATCCATTGGAAGCCTGGCATTCAGAACCAGATTGATGGACCAATTATAGGATAGATGCAGTGAGAGTTGCTCGGTTTTTCCCCCAAACATGTCGGTGAAGTCTGCAATTTCTAAGTGAAGATCCCAAAACAAAGCAGGATGTTTCTCTGTGGCATACACATGAAGCCAATGAGGACGGCATTTAGGGTTGCCCAGTTGAATCACCCTATTGACCACACAATCTGTGAGTCATGTGCCTGAAGCCATTCCAGTCCCGACATGATTGGAAAAGGTGGAGTGGCCACCACATAGAATTCCAACCACTCCATGTGGTTTCCTATCTGAAGAGTCTCAGTAGCCATGGCTACTGGCCCTGACTGAATTGGCCAGCCATTGATGATTTCCACCAAAATGAGCAGTTTACTTCATGCTGTGGCACACTGCACTTAGTGGTGAAAGCTGTGTCCATGAACTTCGTGGTTGCCCCTGAGTCCATCATGGCTTGCGTGAGAACTTCCTCACTTCTGGGAAAAGTCAACATCACGGCAACCACCAAATACTGGGTTGGCATAATCTGTGGCGTTAACACCTGACCCACCCCAGAAATCACCCAACCAAATGAGCCGTTTCAGTCAGGCAGGGGGAGTTTCCTGCCATCGCCAGAATTTTATTTTCAGGACACTTAGCAGATAGGGGCCTCCACAGTATAGGCACAAGCCTTCCCTGCACTTCTGATCCTTTTCTGCCTGTGTGAGGTGCGTCCATCCCCTCCCCACTTGCATGGATTCCTTGGGGGGGGGATTGAGGCTCCTCACAAAACCTCCCTGGTATTGGAGCAGCCACCTCTCATCGCTGCACCCTTCACTGCTGGGGTCAACCATCTATGCACAAGCACAGGGCATGCAGGGTGCCAACTCATCCAGAATTTCAGAGGACAAGCTCTCCCGAAATTGGTCCATTAAGGCTTTCTCGTTCCATCTCAAATCTTGACTGATCAACTACAAGTCAGAGATGTATTCAGTTACAAGGTGACACCCCTGCTTCAACTCCCTCAGCTGCCGGTTCACTGTTTGCACCTTGATGGGGTCTTCAAACATGGCCTTCATTTGAAAGCAAAACCCTGCATAGTCATCCACCAACTGACTGGACTGCATGAGGAGGGGGAGATCACCCACTGGGCTGCTGGTCCTGTCTATAGACTGATGATGAACCCCACCTTCTCCCGGTCAGTTTGAAAATCATTTGGTTTCAGGCTCATGAACAACTGACATTGTCCAAAATATTGGGAATTGGGCAGAGTTCCCATTAAATTTATCTGGGATAGCAACAGGACATTTACAGCGAGTTCTTGACGGTCCAGATGCCTGCAATTGTGACAACTGATTGGAAAGAAAAGTTACTTGCTGGGCCAGCTTGGCATTGTTGACTAGCTATTGCTCCATAATGTCCAACAAACAGGGCTTCTGGGGAAAAGGGGGCTGGGAACAAACAGCTGCCCCACTCACTCACACACACAAGTAACTGTGGTTTAGTAAGTTTATTAATATTCCCCAGCAATTCCCTTCACCAAAGCTCAGAACTGTCTCAATTAAGTCCAGCCATGAGCAGGCCAAGATTAGTCCACAGAGCAATGGCCTAATAATCCACAAAACAATTGAACAAATAACTACACCCGGCATAACTTAAATCCACACACAAAAGAGCTCATGTAACAAGAAAAGTTCAGGGTCTCCAAGGCACAATTCCAAACATGGTGTCCATCCAGAGTGATGAAGGAATCATGACAATCAAATGAACAGCTAGAAAACCAACACATTCCCAGCAACACCTGCTTCTGTCAGCTGTGTTAACCAGTTTTCTGGAGCAGCCTGTCAACTGGATGGGATCTTCTCTTGAGTAGTCTGGCTGACCTCCAGACTCCTGCCTTTTCTCTGCCCTGTGTGTTCTTGGATTAGGTGCAGAAGGCAGTTCCTCTTTGCTGGCATCTACCATTGCAAGTTTTCCCCACCTGAAGCCTCCTCCAAATCTCTTTTGGAAGGCTGTTCAGAGCCATCAATCAACCCAGTTCCTGACATGCCAGGAATGGGCTCAATCTCCTCTGAACTGACATCTGAAGAGGAATCTGAAGAGTCATCCAAGGGAGACATCACATGAGCTCACCATGGACTTAAACCAGGAACTTCCTTATCCTAGACCAGCTTCTTAACTATTGCACTACAGTGTGATGACACCCTGCTCTGAAGGCTTTCTGAAAAGTTCTGACTTCAGAACTTTTCTAAATTATAAAAAGGGACAGGATCCTAAAGATATAGATGAGGAGGGAGGAAATCTGTACGCAAGTGTGATTGAATGCTTCATCTTTGAAGAGATGAATGGTTCAGAAATGTAATTGCCGGATGGATGGATGGATTGGAGAGAGAGAGAGAGAGAGAGAATTCCAATTGCAAATCTGCAGGTACAGAATACCAGGTTCTCAATATCTAGGTATTCTAAAGTGAAGATTCTATCTTATTGTATAATTTAATTATAAACACTTATATACTTCGTTGGGTACCGTTTCCACAACTCAAGATAGCCTATACTTTTCTAAAATCCTGGAACAAGCCTTGTATGGCTTACAGGCTTGGAAGAATATTATGGTTCTCTGATTTTTATATATGTATTTCAGTATATAACAGAGTTGAAAGGACCTTGGAGGTCTTCTAGTCCAACCCACTGCTCAAGCAGGAAACATATACCATTTCAGACAAATGGTTGTCCAATTTCTTCTTAAAAATCTCCAGTATTGGAGCACCCATAATGTCTGGAAGCAAATCGTTCCATTGATTAATTGTTCTAACTGTCAAGAAATTTCATCTTAATTCTAGGTTGGTTCTCTCCCTGATTAGTTTCCATCCATTGCTTCTTGTCCTGCGTTCAGGTGCTTTGGAAAATTGGTTGACACCCTCTTCTTTGTGGCAGCCCCTTGAAACACTGCTGGCAATCTCTTGGAACACTACTATCATATCACCCTAATCCTTTTTTTCATTAAACTAGATAACCCAATTACTACAACTGTTCTTCAAATGTTCCCTAATCATCTTTGTGGCTTTTCTCTGCATTCTTTTTAGAGTCTCAACATATTTTTTATATTGTGGCAACCAAAACTGGATACAATATTCCAAGTGTGGTTTTACCAAGGCATTTTAAAGTGGTATTAAGACTTCACATGATCTTGATTCTATATCTCTGTTAATGTAGTCTAGTACTGCATTGACTTTTGTGGCAGCTGCAGCACGCTGCTGGCTCATATTTAAGTGATTGTTCACTAGGATTTCAAGATCCATTTTGCAGCAGGTACCACCTGTTTTATACCTATGCATTTGGTTTTTCCTCCATAAGTATAAAACCTTACTTTTCTCTAAATTAAATTTTGTTTTTGTTGGATAGGATTCAGTGTTCAAGTATGTCAATATCCATTTTGATCCTGAGCATATCATTACTGCTAGCTTAGTGTCATCTGCAAATTTGATGAGTTTCCCTTGTAGCCCCTTGTCTAAATCATTGAAGAGTACTGGGCCTAAGACAGAGCCTTGAGATACCCCACTGCATACTTCCCTCCGTGTAGAAGCAGTTCCATTAAGGATTACAAATTATGTATGGTTGGTCAGCCAGCTACAAATCCATCTGATAGTGATGCTGTCCAACCCAGCAGTCCCCAATCTTTCTGTGTCCACAGACTGGCAACAAAGAGGGTGGTGAGGGGGAGGGGTTGGCTTTGCATGTGCAGCTTAGCTCTCGTGCATGTGCAAATGAAGCTTTGCACACTGGCCCGCCGCTTACATGGCAAGGTTCCCAAAAGGTCACAGACTGGTCCATGGCCTAGAGGTTGGGAGTTGGATGGCCCTGATTTAACCCACATTTTTCTATCTTATCAGGTAGTAGGTTGTAGTCTACTTTATCAAATGCTTTACTGCAGTCCAAGTAAATTACATCCACAACATCTTCCTGGTTTTGTCACTTTATTAAAAAATGCAATAAGATTTGTCTGACATCTGTTTTTGACAAACCAGTGTCAGCTTTGTTATGACTTTGCTTGCCTCTAGCTGTTCACATATTCATTGTTTGATCATCTTTTCCACAATATTTCTTGGTATAGATGTCAAACTGATAGTTCTGTAGTTTCCTGGATCTACTTTTCTTCCTTTTTTAAAAATGGGAACTACATCAGCCCTTTTCTAGTCTTCTGGTAGTCCCAGTACCCCAGGACATTGTTCACTGGTTCTGTGATCACATCTCCCAATTCCTTCAGAACCTTGGGGTGTAATTTATCTGGTCCTAGTGATTTGAACTCGTCTCAAGTAGATAGGTATTTTCTTATCGTTCTCTTGCTTATTTTGACTTCTATTCCTAATCTGCATTTTGCAGTATTTTTTAATGTTGGTCTGTTTTTTTCTTTTGTGTAAAGACGGATGCAAAATCTCGGTTAAGCTGTTCTGCTTTCTTCTTGATGCTTGTCATCTCCTTGCCATTTTCTCCTATTAATGTACCAATTGTTTCCTTTACTTTTTTCTTGGTTTTTACATGAAAAAAAGTTTTTATTTTTAACATCTGTTGCAAGCCTTAGTTCATTTCAAACCTTCAAGCTTTCCTGATTTCATCTTTGCAGATTTGGGCTATTTGCTGATATTCTACCTTAGTTATGTGCCTCTCTTTTCATTTTTTATATTTTGTCTTTTTTGTCTTTCAGTTTATCAGAGAGTTCTTTGTGCAGCCATGTTGATTTCTGTTGAGATCTCTTATTTTTTTTCTTCATTGGAATTGACTGGGCTTTTCAAAGTTTCTCAAACTTCTTGGACTGCTTTCCCTCCCTGAGGATTCGCATCCATGAAATCCTTCTCAAGCTCTAAGTTATTGAAATCATATTTTTAACATTCCAAAATGAATCTTTGAGTAGTTCTTTGAATGACCAAGAACAAAACTAACGAACCACACTGGGCTCTAGTCAGATTACTTATTCCTTAACTTTACTCCTGTCATGACCATCTGCTTAGCAATCAAAAAATGCAGAATATTAGTCCTGAAAATTTTTGGGGCAATCTCTGATGTACAGCAACTTTTCCAACCAATCATTCTAAAGATTCCATATATATTGGGACCAAAATTCAGAAAGGCAACATTATTTGGATCTTCCGGGAGATGCAATGCCAGCAAATTAGGAAAGTTCACATTGGGGAGAACTGATTTTGAGAAAGGTGATGAAGCTCGAAAACATTATTTTACAGAATTATCTGCCCCAACAGTAAGGATGGTTCCCTGACCCTTATTGTGTAAAAGCAAGTGTAATGGCAGATGTTTTACTTGATTCAGTTATTTATTTCTGAATAAACTTCTACTGTGCCTTTAGAAAAACTCTCTCCAACCACAACATACAATAAAAATGTCAAAACAATAAATCCATTATAAAAACAAAAACTATATAGAATTTTTTTCTACTGAAAAATCCAGTAGAAACCTGATGAAATCAATACTTTTCTTTATTGCCTGTTGAAAAAAAACCAGCAAATATATGACTATGCATGTATTTACCATATAGCAGAACAATTCTCAAGGGCCAATTTTACTTGCTATGGCTCTTATTTAAAATCCAGAGAATTACAGGTCTCAGTTTATAATTTTTAATTTAAAAGGCCAAGTTTCTATGCCTGCTGATGAGCAAGATATAAAAATACAACAAATACTAATATAGACTTTTGTTCTATAGTGGTGACATTTTTGTTTTGCAATCTAGGGAAAGATGGGAGACCGCATTGGCTTTTTCCCAGCCAATTTTGTCCAGCGAGTTCGCCCAGGTGAAACTGTCTGGAGATGCTTCAGGACTTTCTGTGGCAACAAAGAACAGGGACAGCTGAGCCTTAAAGAAAACCAGGTAGGCATGTATGCCCCCAAATATAGACATGGTCAAGTAAGACCTCCAGCCTCTTTTTCACAAAGGCCATTTGTGAGCAGTCAGTTCAAGTTTGGAAAGCTATGGCCTGCTCTCTGCTGGCACTTACCTGAGCTTGAAGAAGTAGAAATAAAATGGAGTCATCAAAGGAGAACTAAAATGCAGCTTTATTCCGATTCATAACTTGTAGCTCTTGAGAGAAAAAGATTCCCTACCCCTGAAGTAAAAGGTAATTTAAGATAAAAGGTGAAGACTACTTTGAGTCAAACATGATTCCTAGGAAATTTAGGGACAAGTCCATGTGTTTTTGAATAGGAAAAAAAAAGCTTGTTTGTTTTGTTTTCAAATCTAACCTGTTTTCCTGATATTGCCTGTTGAATCCAAACATCAGGTTGATCCTAAAAAGAATTGTATTTTTCTCCAGTCTTTGTAAATGGTGGACATCATTTTGCTAGAATCATATTTATCCTTTGCTTCTTTATATTGTTTTAACCTTTTGCTTTTGTGTTATCTGTTGATAGTATCTAGTCGTCTCCTGTCAGACTCGTCTGGAATTTTTTATTTATTTTTTATTCTATTTATTAATCTTTTATTTTTCCAAGAATTAGAGGCTTGTACAGTGACTCACCCTTCACAACAGGCATCCAAAATATTTAAACTTTAGCATTCTTATTTATGCTTGCTCTGAACAGTCTTAATTTTACTTCATCAAGTATTGTTCTTTGTATGATCCAGGTTAAACTTTTCTGACAATCCAGCTTTCACAGCCATATGTCACAACCGGAAAACCATGGTCTTGATAACATGTACCTTTGTTGTCAGTGTAATTTAATATTTAAACTAGTTATCCCATAATTACATAAATAATGTGTCAGAACTACCAATTCTCAAAGGTACTTGTTTTCTATATTTAGGAGCAAATATCTGTGCTTTAGATTATGGTGATGAATTGGACGTGAAGGTTTTATACAATTTTGTACAGTATTATTGCACACAAGCTGAACTGCAGCAGAGGGCACCTTATTTGTGTTTTGCTGAAAAACTAAAATCTTGGAACTAGGTTAGGCACTCAAGACATTTTGTTGAGTCAGGACTTTTCATTGAATCATTATGAAATTTAGTAGCAATACTTCTTTGATACTTTCAGATGGACTATAATTCAGCAAAATGAAATTATCCAGAGATTGTGCAAAGATATGTTCTAGCTTTTGCTCTTCAACTGAGTCAGGACAAAAAGACTTAGATTCCCAGTGATCATGATAGCTTTATAACATATTAGGAAAAGAAGCAATGGAGAAGGATGACTAATACAGGGGTCCCCAACCCCTGGGCCATGGACTGGTACCGGTTGGCAGCCTATTAGGAACTGGGCCACACAAGCAAAGCTTCATCTGTGTGTGAAACCATCTCCTCCCAGTCCATGGAAGAACATTTTTCTTCCGAAACTGGTTCTTGGTGGAAGAAAGGTTGGGGACTGCTGGACTAATATATTCCCATACAGAATTTAATAATATTGGAGATGGCCTATATATAAAGTCCTTGTATATAAGGCACTTTGTCCTTAGCTCCAGTGATTTTAATAGAAAACCATAGGATTAACTTTGCAGCCAGTGCATTTTTCCATTTAGGCATTCCAAAGTTCTTCCCTCTTGAACATACAAAACATACTTAGCATCTCCTTGCAGTCATGTTGTTCTGCCAGCCTGATGCTTCAGCATCCACTCTCAGTGGGCAGGATTTCAGCCAATCTGAATTCTTTGGTCATTTTAATTAAGTCTCATACAAACAAAGTTATATCGAGACAGTAAGGAAGGACTTTCTGCTACAAATAATGGAAGAAAGGAGCTTAAGGCAGTTTGGTTTCCAAGCAGAGGAGCGCCAGTAGATGGTGGAGATGAGGAGAGGCAAGCCAAGGTGAGAAATATTGGAGCACAGGATCAATTCTAATATTAATAAACACAAAGACAGCTGCTTAGGGCAATTCATTTGGAGTTTCCATTGAAAATGCTTCTATTATTGTTGTTGTTGTTATTGTTGTTGTTGTTGTTGTTGTTGTTGTTATAGTCACCCAGAAATATATCTAGAAAATGTATCATTGAGAGGCGGATTCTCACTCAATAATGAATTTTCTTGGTATTAGAGTGTTCTTCTCTAATATGTGGAAGCCTACACAGAGGGCTGGAAAATCTATAATTAGGAATGTTAACAGCATAAATCTAAAGGAAAATTGGGTTCTAACTGCATATAAGAAGCACTGTGGTATCTCATAAAATTTAATTCATAATTAGGGGATCCAGTCTCTTCTCCTTATTACAGCAGTGGTACTGGTATACATCCAATACATTTCCCTCCTTTGTTTTGGAACCAGTCCCTTACTCTTATTTTATTTTTCCATACACACATTGCTATAGTGTGAGGTTTAAATATGTCATGTGTGGTATTTCTCTTTCTTGAACAGTCTCCCTATTATTATAGGCACTGTTCAGGAAAGAAAGGTTTTGGTTATGTTTATATATGTTGCATATACCACTCTTTAGCTGCCACTTGAAATTTTGGATAATTGGTCCTCTGGATGTTTTTACTATGAAAGTTGTAGCTTTTATAGTTTAAAAGTCCAATTTCTTGACCAGAACAAGAAGATTGTTGCTAAAAGAACCTTTTGTTTAAGGAAAACTGTCTTTATGATTTTAAAAATGCCCATGAGAAGTATGAGTTTTGGAATACGACTACTATCAAATGCTTTGTGACAGAACTCAAAAACTATGTGACAATAAATTAGAATCAAAAGTGATTGAATAATACTGAGCCACCACCCAAAAAGGATTTTTAAAAAATGCCTCCAACACACAAAACAAGACAGTAAGAAATACTTATTTACTATTCCAATCACATGTATTGTGGACATATGGACATATTAATAATACATGTACACTTACCAGCATTCTTTCTGAGTCTTTTGATAACATATGATTCTCCCCACCCCGTCTTCTGATTCTCCTAGATCTGTGTTGGTGTGGGAAAGACCAAAGAGAATGAAGGTTTCATAAAGGTGACAAGTGGCAAAAAACGTGGGCTGGTGCCTGCTGACACTCTGACAGAAATTTGAAGACAAAAGATGAAGAGCAAAATGAGAGAAGTATACACTAAAAAGAGGAAGCCTACAAGGCGAGTGATGCTGCCTTGTGTTCTCTAGGCCACCCCCATATTGGAGCACCTGGGTAATCACTGTTTCACGGAATCTTCCCACTGGATCTTGTGAGCAGCTTTTGTGAAAGGGATGAAAGAAGGCTTGAGGGGGAACTGGCAGGAGCATCGCTTGCTATGTATCTTTATCCATGTGCAGCTGGAAATTCACTCCTGTTTGACTTAGTTTCTCATCACATTCACTGCAGTCTCTGTAAAGGTCTTTGGTGAGAGCTCTCTGTGTTGTGAGTGTGAGCGAGATTTCCTGTTGTAATTCACACCCTGTCTTCTTGTCTTTGGACCTTGGCAATAGATGCCAGTTAATAATTAACCAGTCTTAACTTATTGGGAGGGATCTATCTTAGTGTAAGGCTCTTGACCCCCTCCCATTTTCAGAAATACCCCAACAATGCTGTGTTGCATGCAAGTTACCCATGGAAATGCAAAGCCCTGCTCTGACTAAGAAGACCACATGGTGTGTTGGTTTCTATGTTAGTTTTCTTTCTCTGTATTTGTGTGACTGTATCACCTTCTGCCAAAAAGATGGTGTGGCCAGGCAATTATATACAGCCTTTTGTTGGTCACATACTGAGGAATCTTACTTTGGAGCCTCTTCTGCTTAATTTTTAGGAGGCAAAGTGGTTGGCATTGTATTGTCCCCTTTCCTGGCTCCTGGGGAAATCGTACAACTATGTTTGCTCCTCAGTGTGTAGTGGCTGACCCACCATATAACTGATGGCAACATCGATCATTTCTCAGGGACCTTCCTTAACCAGACGCTTTTCTAAACTAAACAGAGAATATTACTGCTTTGCTCATAGGAGTTCAAAGGCCCTGGTTACTCCAAATTTCCTTGTTTCCCAGCATGCTTTCAGCTATGTAATTTGCAGATATATTTTTATAAAAAGGAAAGAAAGAAGGAAAATTTTTATGATTTGAAAAGCGGTATTTAATATGGTATTTTCATAGACATCCCTAGAATGATTAAACTGGCATTTTTCTGACTTGATCTGCTGGTTAAGAAGAGACGCCTTATTAAATCCTATGTTTCTAGGGCCCAGTTGGAATATATAACAGGCCATGTGTATTGGCCTGTGAAAGATAGCACACATGAAATACTTCTGTAAGTGAGATAGACCATTGATCACCATTCAGTATATATAACAGATCCAGTACATTATTAAATACATTTAAACATGATATACATGCATGGCTCATTTACATAGGTTAAGCATTTATTTTCTTATATTGCATAATCAAGCCAGGGAAACAGAGTTCTTTCCTAGGTATTTACACTGTGACTCTAGCCTATTAATGACATAGCAATAGGTATTCCTTTCTTTCCCCAAAACTCCAGAAATATATCTTTTTATTTTGTTCTTTAAATTGCCCAAACAGTATACAAAATACAGAGTTAAGTTCTTAATTCATCAGGTATTTTCAAAATAAGATTTAAAAACATCTTCCTCTTCAAAATTTATCCACGCTGCAAAGCAAGAAAAATTCAATTAGTACTTCTGTTTTAGTTGAGATCAGACAGTGGTGGGATTCAGCCAGTTCGCACCACTTTGGCAGAACCAGTAGCTAATTTTTTGTTGCCCAGGCCCAAAACAGACTTCTGGAAGCTGCATCCACACAGAGAACCGGTTGTTCACATATTTGAATCCCACCACTGAGACTAGAGTATTGTTCCAAGCATTTCCATATTATAAAGACATCACTATATTGGCCTGATTCACATCTATATCATGAAATTTCTCTAAGCAATGACTTGCAAATATGATGACCAGATTTCATAACCAAGAAGTTTATATCATTAGGAATGCTTTCAGCAAATGAGCTTATGCGTTCAGTTGCCAAAAATTAAGCATAATAAAATCAAATAATGTAAATGCATATGTGTCAGACTTTAGCTAGGAAAATTTATTGCTTGCAGAGCTAATATAAAAACAATAAGGATTAAAATGTATTTAAATGTCAGTGTCACCAAGTGGAAGCTGTACAGGAAAAAGAAGCACTTAATGCTTGTTGGACAATTTGTGCTAAAGTATGGCACAATATATCTTCCACCAAGTACACAGATTTATATTGTCTTTTCTGGGTCAAGATCATGAAAATAGATGGTATAATCAACAAGAGATTATAACAGTACCAATTTTCCAAAATAAATAATGCTTAGAGACCAACAACAGGAAAATCTATTTGAGAGATGGATTTTCCATTCTTATTTTGTTATGCATAGCTATGTTTGCACTATTTCCAAATTACTGTTGGATTGAAATTTTCCACTTTTTGTGCACTAATTTGGGGTTATCTAAAAACTAATCAAGCACTTGCTAAGTGCTTAACCACTGTCTCAGTAAACATGCAAATTTTCAACATGTACAGCAGCATTTTTGAAGAGTTTTGCTAGCTTGTCAGAATCAAAAAAAAATTAGATCCATAATCTCGATTATCATGTCAAAAGTGGTAGGAGGGAAGTACATAAGGCGTAATATGAGATCTTCCAACTGAAGGGTTTAGGTTCCCTAATGCATTAACTGGTATAGCAGATGTAATGTCCTCACTGGTGATCCTTTATTCTTCTTTAACGGTTTTATTCAGTATGTTGGAGTTAACTGGAACATACTGAAGCACATTATGTTTATTTCTTTTCTAGTTAAAAATAATATAATTACTTCTCAGTAAAGAACATCATTCTTGAAAACATCCCTAGTGGGGACTATAAAATTGATTAGAAAAATGGAATATGGGATAAGGAAGAACATGTGGCCAAATACTACTGGCCTTACTTGATTAGTACTCCTAATGAATAGGGTAATAGTGGTGATCTGATCAAGAGTTCTCCAGAATAAAAGGCAGCAAGAAGCAAGGTGAGATACAGAAGATGTGAAGGGAGGGAAATATAATTTTGAATATAATTATGAGAAAACATGTTTCTCTTGATAATGTCATACTGATTTTGGGAATTAAATCCAAAAGATGTGTTTACTTGCCCAGTGGATCTCCTGAGCTACTAGTGCTGGGTTTATTTGTTTGTTTTGGGCGGGGGGGGGGGTAGTTTGTTTTTTTTCTTTGTTGGCTAATTGTCACAGCAATAAGTGATTATACATCTAAAACAAACATAATACCATGTTAACATATTTTCCTTCTTAGGCAGGCTGTGTGGGAGACTGGTCACAAAAACATTCAACCTACATTTGAAATCTCCATTGTATAGAAAGCGTAGCACACTTGATTCCTTGCTGGAATCCCACTCATCTAAGCAATAATGTTCAATTCCTTTTTGGCTGCATGTAAACATATATGTTCATAAATGGCACCTTTGCATATGTTGAAGAATACATTGTGGTTCAAAGGGGAGAAAATGGAAGAAATGTTCTAAATTAAATACTATAATGCACCAAACACTGTGATTGATAGGTTTTTCTTCTCCTGATTTGGTCAAAGTAATATTGGTTTATTGCCTTTTGGCAAGATAGTAAAAGGTATGGTGAAGAATTCGTAAAGCCAGAACCTTATACTTGAAGGTCAGCACTTTGCCTAAGCTGTTCTTATCAAACGTTTCTCTGTGTCTTAACTGGGTACTTCATTCTTTAAATAACTGTTGTTTCACACTTGCTATCAATGCTATCATCACCAAGCAAATGAACTTTGCAGCTTATTCATATGGATATAATGTTTAAAATATTTGATATATTTTCACAGAACTGGTAGTGTTCTTGACCTTGAATATATCAACGATCCAAGCTATTTAATACATATCTTGGAAATTTACTATTGGCAAGCTGCTTGCAAATTCTAAAGTCCATAAATATGCTTATTTGTCCAATATAGCAAGACATCCTGATCTGAAGAACTTGGATGACATGCACAGTGCTTACGCAACTAATTGGGATAGTAATAGTAAATCTGTCTTTACACAGTGAAAGTTAATGTGTGTGGTGAGATAGTGCTCTGCTAATAATCTCTATCTAATGTATTGTGTAAGATAGAAAGATACAGATATAGAGAGCAGTTTTTTTAATGTTTTACAGTATGTGTAACAGGTTTACAGCTACTTCCCCAAAAGTTTATTCTTATATCCCTGAATGTGTGAACTCATGTGTTTTTGAATTTTAGGCTGTAAACCCTGCAGCTGGATTTTGCTTTGGCCTGTATTAAGGCATTTCATTGTCATCTGTACCATTTTGTTTAAGTTTCTTTGTGTGTTTAAGAAAGTCAGTACAAAATAATTCTGTATTGTCATGTGGTGATCCTTTCACTTTGGATCTTTGAAGGGCAAAGAAAAGTACACAATAAGGTTTCTTTGAAGAATATAATAGTTCTGAAATAAGGTGATGCTATGAAATAATTTTGTGACAAGGTGTGGCTCAGAGGTCTCTAGACTCCTTTTCCTGCAATATTGGTAAAATCTTCCTATGTGCTTCATACTCCTGTTGATGCTGACCAGTTGCAGGAGCAGATATTCTTGCTACCACAAATACTATATTCCTATGTTAACTTGCAGCATATAAGGAAAAATAACACTGAAATAGAAGAAGAATATAATGGAATACTACCGAAGGGCAAGATGACATCACGATAAAAATAAAGATATCTATTATATTGGTGGTGCAAACTCAATTGCAATTTTTTTTTCAAAATGATCTATTTTTTCAGACTCATTCTGCAGCTTGCTACATCTGTTTTTGTGGGGATGATATTAATAAAGCTATTAACAAGAGTGAAAAATGCAAATAAGTGTTTCCCCTTTTGGTATACAACTCGTAATATAAAGATTCCATGGATGAAAATCTTAAAGGGGAAAACAAGAAGCTTGGGAAACTCTGAAAAATATGATCATTAAAGCCCATTCCCGTCTTGGTATGGAATGGGACATTTAGGTACCGACACTTGGCTGTTCCCACTTCGCTCCCAGCCAACTGCCACTGTCAAACCACAGCAGGCTTTCCTCTTCCGTTGGCCCACGGCCAGTGATTGTCCACTGTCAATGGCTCCCTGATCCTCCACCTCCAGCCCTGTGTCCTAGCTGATTCCCGAAGGCACAGTTTGACCTGGGTGTTTTGCTGCCTCGGACAAATAGCCACCAGCCAATTGGGTGGCGGATGGCAATGATGGCACTGGGTGGGCAGTGCATAATTGGCGGTGGGCAGGACAATCGCAGGGGGTGTGGGGGCGGTGTGTTATGCAGTCGATGGCAAACTGGAGTGGAAGAGCAAGATTGGTAGCATGTGACTGCCAGCAGTGCACGGGTGAAGGGGAATCCTGAGGACTGTGGGATAAAGCACAAAATGCAAATTCTGAAGCAGGAAGACACTACTATAAAGCTGTCTGGAAATGCAAAACCACAAATCTATCTGCCAATCCCCCCCCCCAGATTAATTCTTTCTCTCAATCCTTTCCAATCCTTACATAAATAAAAAATGGCAGGCAAGGCTTTCCATTTTGTGGAGTGGGAGGCAACAGTGGTGAGGCAACAGTGGTTGTTCGGATGTCAATATGGGAAGCCTCCACTGCTCCACAAGTTTTTTTTAAAGCCACAATCCATTCTACAAAATGGGAAGCCCTTCCTGCTGCCCCACACACTGTCTTAGCTGAACTATCTGTTTGACATTTGGGTCGGAGCTACAATACAGAGGCTGCCAACCCCATTTATTTATTTATTTATTTATGATTTCTTTCTCCCATATTTGGGCAACAGGGTGTAACATACAGCATTATATATATACACACACACACACACTCACACACACACACATACATACATACATTGGAAAGGATTGAGAGAAAAAATTAATTTTGGGGAGTTTCGCAGACAGATTTGTGGTTTTGCACTTCCAGGCAGCTTTAGAGTAGTGTCTTCTTGCTTCGGAGTTTGCACTTTGCTTTATCCCACAGTCCCAGGATTCCCCTCTGTCTGTGGACTGCCTGTAATTATGCGCCACCACCAATTTTGTTCCCCACCACCGCCACTGTTGATCTTTCTCTCCTAGCCCAGCATGCCGCCGATCACATCACACACCATACCCACAGCCCCTGCGATCACCCCCCTGCCACCAATCATGCACTGCCTCTCCAGCACCATCACTGCCACCCACCACCAGATTGCCTTGCAGCTATTTGTCCACTGCAGCAAAATGCCTGAGTCAAACCAGGCCTTGGAGAATGGGCTGGGATGCAGGGCTGGGGGTGGATGGCTAGGGGGCCATTAGTGGTGGACAATCACTGGCAGTGCACCTGAGGAGGAGGAAAGCCTGCTGTAGTTCAGCAGCAATGATTGGCTGAGAACAAAGTGGGCATGGCCAAAGGTCAGCACCTAAACATCCTAGACCTTCTTGGTAAGCTTAAAAAAAAAGTGAGATAGACAGCATCACCACCAGATGGATTTGTAACTGGCTGACAAACTACACTCAACATGTACTCTTTAACAGTATTACATCTACATCAAGGGAAATAAGCAGTGGGGTACCACGTGGTTCTATCTTACGCCCAATACTTTTCAATATCTTCATCAATGATTTAGACAAGGGGATAGAAGGGGAACTCATCAAATTTGCAGATGACACTAAGCTGGCAGGAATAGCCAATACCCCAGATGATATGCTCAGGATCCAAATGGTTCTTGACAGACTTGAACATTGAAGCTCTATCCAACAAAATGAAATTTAATGTAGAGAAAAGTAAAGTTTTACTCTTATGAAGGAAAAACCAAATATACAAAAACAGATTAGGTGAAACCTGGCTCAAAAGCAGTAACTATGAGACAATTCCTGAAGTCCTAGTAGACAATCACTTAAATACGAGCCAGTAGTGTGCAACAGAAGCCAAAAAAAGCTAAAGAAATTTTTGGTTGCATATGTCAAGACTGCTAATATCGGATGTTTTTGCTTGTCATATATGAAGAGCAAGCATGTTTATTTAGCCTGCATATCACTTCTAGAATTAAAGTCAGACGATGTTAGAACAGCAGGTTGGAAAGTAAGATAGTTAACCACAACAATATTTCAGCACAGCTTTGCCAAGGTCAGCTGTAACCAGAGTGGTTACAGGGAGGGAGAGTTCACACTTCAAGCTAATTGGAGAACGTGATTGATGACTGTAAAATGAAGGAGTGAGTTATGCTTTGTTACTGGTGATTGGGGGTGGGAGGATTCAGTTTTTGGCTTCATTATGTACATGCCGAACCTTTGCAGAAATAAAAGGATTCTTTAAGATAAATAAAGCCTCAAAGTTCTTTGAAAACCTGCTTATTTCGGAACCATGACATCATAAACAGAGGGACAGAGTCAAGATCACGTGAAGTATTTAATTCATAAAAAAATCTCTAATTTTATAGGTATTGTTTGGAGTAGGAAAAGTAGTTTTGGTAAAATATTCATTTTCACTGTCGCTATTCTTCCCAAGATTGATAATTGTAAATTTTTCCATCTTTCCAAATCTGATTTTATTTGTTTTAATAGTTTAAAATAGTTATCTTCTTTTAATGTCACACACCTTGCTGTTAAATATATCCCCAGTTATTTAACTTTCTTAACTATCTGGAGTTTTTTTCTGACAGTTGATTTTGTTGTTTAGCTATAAGGTTTTTAACTATCACTTTAGTCTTATCTCTGTTTATTTTCAATCCTACTATTTCTCCAGATTCTTCAATCTTTGTCAATAATTTAGGGCTTGTCTCCAAGGGATCTTCTAATATAAATACCAAATCGTCCACAAATGCTTGTAATTTATATTTTTCATATTTTATCTCTATACCTTTAATTTCTGGATCCTAATATTTCTATCCAACACTTCCAGAGTTAAAATAAATAATAATTAGAGATAGTGGATACCCTTTTAATATTAAAATTCTCTGTAAAATCTCCATTTACAATTACTTTAGTTATTTGTCTATGGTAAATTGTTTTAATTATATTTATAAAGTTTTCTCCAAAGTCCATATAGTTTGATTGTTGTACCATAAATTGCCAGTGGACATTATCAAAAGCTTTCTGCACATCTAAAAAAAATGATGCCATTTGTTTCCCTGGATGCATTTTGTAATATTCCAAGGTATCTAAGATCATTCTTAGGTTGTTCTCTTTTAATTTAATTGGGCCATTTCTTCAGCTTCTATTAAATTTAATTTGTGTTTTATTATCTCCAATTGTTTTTTAAAGGTCTTCTTTGTGGGACTCTTTGTAGTTCTAATTCTAATTTCATCAATTCTTCCTTTAGCTTAATTTGTTCTTGGTTTTTTTCCTTGTTCTTTTTCACCATGTAAGTTATGGCTAATCCTCCAACATATGCTTTGGCTATATCCCAAACATTTTGGAGTCATGTATCTTCTTTCTTATTTTCTTTAAAGAAAAATTCCATTTCCTTTGCTACTATTTGTATAAATTCTTTCTCTTTCAAGAAGATTCAGTGTATTTTAAAACATGGGAAAATTTTTATCAATGGTTAGCATCACGTTAGAGCGAGAAAGGATTGCGAAATTTAACAGGATGAATGATATTTACTGACTAAGCTTTACTTTTATGATTATTGTTACTATCAGTAATTATAGCTGTTTAGTATTATATTAACTACTGTTATTTAATATTTGTTCCCGGACGATAGTCTGCTTGCTAAAGTGTTGAATTCTTTGTGGGGACCAACCCCACTATTGTATCTACCCTTACCCTTATCCCAACCCTATTCCCCAACCCCACCCATTACCTATACCAATCCTACCCCTTCCCCACCCTTATAAAACCTAATAAAATATTTTTTAAAAAATCTTTTTCTTTCAGTAGAGATTGATTCAATGTCCATCTTAATTTTTTCTTTGTTCCTCTCCATGTCATCTTTATCGGATTGTGATCCACCTATACATTAGTTTCTATCTCAATCTCTTGTATGTTAATTCTGAGTTCAGCAGATATCTATATCATATCGATTCATATGCCTATTTTAGTAAAATATATATTGAGATTTCTTTGGGTTTTTCTTTCCCCATATATCCTGTATACAGATTTCTTCTGCCATTAAAAAAAAAATCTTAGGTAAAATGTTCCTACCTTTTTTCCCTATTTTACTACTTTTTTATTACATTTTATTAGATTTTATAAGGTTAAGGAAGGGATAGGGTCAGTATGGGTATTGGGTAGGGTTGAGGAATAGGGTTAGGATAGTGGACTATCATCTGGGTACAAATATTAAATAACAGTAATTAATATAATATTAAACAATTATAATCACTAAAAATAGCAATAATCATGAGAGTGATAGTTAATCAGTAAATATCATTCAGCCTATTAAATTTCACATTCCTTTCTCACTAGATTGTATTGTTAACCATTGATAAAAAATTTCCCATGTTTTAAAATAAACTGAGTCTTCTTTCTTAAGGTGACCAACTTTTTTACAATGAAAAAGAGGACACAAATAAATTGAAGAAAAAAATATCATAAAAGCTGGCCTGGCACATGGAAGATCAACCGCTTGCCACGCCCCTACCCACAACCACCCTGCCAGCACCGCTGCCTCGCCATGTAGAGTGGGCTCCGTGGCTCCCAAAGCACCAGCCGCGCCAGCTCCAGGGGGCAGCCCGCTGTCGACATACCCTGCCTGCAGCCGCCCTGCCAGCACCACTGCCCACCCTGCGCAGCCCCATGTAGAGAGGGCCCCACAGCTCCCACAGCACGGGGGGCAGCCGGCCACTGCCGCCCCTCACACCCCCGCCTGCAGCACTCCTGCCGCCCCTGCCTCTTGTGCCCGTAGCCATTATTGCCTTAGCAGAGCTGAAGATCAAGATAAACTTACCGCTCCAGTCTCCTCCAGGTATCTTCAGAACTAACTAGGAGATGGTGTAGTTGGGTAGCAGGGAGGGGTGCAAAGTTCCTGCCAATTTGCCTTCGCTGCAGACAACTTGCATGTGCAAAGTTTGCCGGCCGGGTGTTTTGGCGCGCTCAGCAGCAATTCCTATTGGCTTTCGAAAACCAATAGGGGGAGTAGCACAGCTCATGCAAAAGTTGAAAAAAAACCATTAAAAAAAGGTGCCGGAACTCCGTTCTGAGCGTTCTATGAGAAAAAAAAGCCCTGCAGATTAGTCTTCAAATATCAAAAAGGAGGACATGTAGGAGGACACTTTTTGAGGGAGGACAGAACTTACTAAAGGAGGACTGTCCTCCCTAAAGGAGGACGGTTGGTCACCTTATCTTTCTCTTTAACCTCTAACGTTAGTCTATCCATTTCTGCATATTCTAAAATTTTCGTAATTATAATCTGGTCAGATGGTCAACTTCATTTTTCCAAAATTGGGCAAATGCTATTCTCGTAGCTGTCAGTACATATAATATTAAATATTCATTCACTTTTCCATAATTAAGTCCAAATATTCCTAGCAAGAACAATTCTGGTTTAAATTCTATCTGTATTTTGGTCATCTTTTCCAGCCATATATAATCTTAAACCAAAATTTCTTTGCATAAGGGCATACCCACCAGACATGTTTGGTTTAATGTCGTTTCCACCATTAGTATTTTTCCTTCTTCATCTGCATAAATTTG